ATAATAAATACGTGCAATGCATTTCTAATTTTGATGTGATGTCAATGCTTTTAACATGTATATAGAAGCCCAAAACGTTCAAACTTTTCAACAAAATAATCACCAGATTGCCTGCAATTAAAGAGGTAAGTAAAACCCTGTCACAACTGCATGGAAAAGGCAGAGGGGGTGGGAAGCGGTAGGGGTGGGGGTGGTGTGTCTGGGTATCTTCTTTTGTGTTTTAGCATGCGTTGTCACGTACACGTAAAAATGGCGTAAATGTTTAAAAACTTACATCAAAGTTATTACGAAGTATTTACCCAAGCCCAGAAAACAGGAGCAGCCATCACAACTTGAGACGCACACAAATACAACAGCACACACACAGACACATCCTGGCTGGCATACAACAATTCAGAAAATCGTTTAAGAAATTGGAACGGTTGCAGAAAGTCACAAGAAATTAACTGCAACATTTTCGGGTCTCAAGCTAAACTTAACCTCTAGTTACAATCTGCTTATATGCACATGCATGCATGTCTTTGTGTATATATATATATGTATATATATATATGTGTGTTTGTGTGTGGTATGCAGAATATGTTGAACATTTACTGTGGGCTCATCAAGTTGAATTTGTGGCTGAAATTGGGATTAAGGAAACGAGGAGAAGTGCAGTGAAATAGGAACTTTAATTTAAACTTAACTTTCAAAAGAACTTCTTTTATAGCCAAAGATTATAATTGAAAAAACAACAGTTAAGTTGTCACAGTTTGTTGTCAAATACCAAGAATGAATTCCACTGTGTGCAGTAATTGTAGTGGGCGGGGCACTGCCTTTTGCCAGCACATTGGCGACGTATTGTAAACTTGTCTGACGCTTTGGCTTGCGGCCAACTTGTGTTCATTTCCCAGAATCTGAGTGTTTGTGTGTGTGCCTGTGTGTGTGTATGTGTGTCTCCCTTATGGTTCGTCAGTGGTGCAGACAGGTAGCTAGAGAGGGTGTAATAGTCGGAGCTTATTTGAAGTTCTGAGCTGTGATTGCGATTCCCTTTTTGGGCAGTGCGTCTAGTAATTATGGTCATGCCCCTTGGCATTTTTGTTGTTATTAAGAAATGTTTATTTCCTACTCTGACAAATGCAAAATATGATAAATATCTGAATGTAGATACGTATACGAAGAAGAAGTTGAAGCGGTTAAGTTCTCATATTTGTGAAAAGCAACTATTTGCTGTTGAAAATCTCATTTCGCAATTGAGAAATTTGTTTGCTCATTAGAAGCACAAGTTTTATAATTAATGAACATCGTTGTGCACACGTATGAATTTTAATAAATACCAAAAAGCAATTAAAATGATGACCAAGTTAATATTTCTCTTAACTCTTTGTTGACAAAACGCAAACAAAATCTATTTAATATTGTATGCACTCTGCTAATGATTTCTACCGATTGGTATATAAGATGTTCTTAATGGCTGTGGTAATTGCAATCAAGTGAAATCAAATGTGTGCTGGAGGACAAATTAAATTAAGATTTAATTGATATGCAATTAAAATTCATAATACCTTAATATAAAGTGTAAATTGCGGAAGCTTTTGTCCTTCGAAGCCACAGACATCAATTCCAAAAACAATCATCGCCTGGCATTAATTTACACTACTATAATATGAACTGCAGAAGTGTGTGTGTGTGTGTGTGTGTGTCTTTCTCTCTCTCTCTGTGTGTGTTAAATTATTTAATTAATGTGTGCGGCTCCATGGCGTATGTGCAATTTCTTTTGTTTTGCAGTGGATAATTAAGATGGAAGCAATAATTTAAGCAGCACTATATTGCGCAGGCATATAATTTAAAATGTCTTATTAACTCGCACAAAAATATACGTTTATATCATATGTAAATAAATTGCACTACTTTGGGACGAGTCATGGTTATTTACGGATTCTATTTCCTCTGGCAACTGGCTAAATGTGTTAAAAACTTCATCTCATATAATTTGATAACAAATTGTTTGCCAAGCAATCGATATCACATTTCCTTTGCAGCAAGCCGGAAATAAAAATGTTGCAAAGAGGTTGCTCTCGTAAATGCTCTGCCATTTGTAATTCGTGACGTCAATTTAATCATCCGCTCGGCCCCACTCTTTTGGGTCAGCCAGGGAACTAATTAGGACAACACATGTTGAATGGGTCCGCATCTCGCATGATGAATGCCCCACAAATGTGGCAAAAGGGGAAGACCATTACTCACATGAGTGTTGTGCTAAGGGACTGTGTGTGTCCTGTGTGTCGCAGGATATAGAGGTGGTCAGTCAGACAGCTGAGCAGGATGCTGCTTAATGGTCTTTGAGCTGCAATTTTGCAGTTGACTTAAGACAGGATGACAATTTCAATTAGTCATGAAGACGCCCTTTGATAAATATTTAAAAAGTAAGCAATATTTTATACAATCTTTCATTAACTGCAAATCCGAAGTTCAGACATGGAAAAATGTATGTGAGAGATAGTAAATTACGTTTACCAAGAACTCATATAAATATTTATAGTACAGATAGTGAAGACAATAAACTGTTGTGTATGGGTTACATGCAAAAGTGGCAAATGTTACTTTCAGCTAGTGACAGCTGAAGTACATTTACCTTGGAACTTCTTTAAGAAGAAATATATGAAAATACCTATGACATATATATATATATATTTTCTTTAGTATTCATCAATTGAGTTGATTTCAACGACACTAACTCAAAACTGAAAAAACCTCCATTCAGGCATTTGCGCAATTTCACGTTTCATCAACGACAGACGACATTGAGGCATTTCAATTTGTCTGGAGGTGAATCAAGAGTGAACCTTATGTCAGGTCCCACATTCAGAAGTCAGAAGTCGAAATCGGTTGTCAGGTTTGACGATTTTCAATCGACGGTGGCGTGGTCATTTTATATTTAGTTAGCTTGCACAGTGGGATAAAAGTGTTTTCTCGCAGAAATATATAAAATATAAATTTGGAGTCCCATTGCGATTCATATTTCATGTCAGCCATTTGTCACTTTCACATGATTAATAACCCTTAAATATTCATTAAAAATCGACAACGTGTCGTTTGTTATGCTTACAGAATTGCTTGCATTGACATCGAATTGTAGCGTATCGAATCGAATAATTTAAATGTCAACATATGACGTCGAATTCCATCCACTTAATCACGTTCTTACCGCTTCAAGAGTCAGAGCTGTTCAACATTATTTTCATCCTTGCGTCAGGACGATGATAAATGAGGATTCAGTACAGTTCACAGAGTATTGCAGTCGTTTTTCACTGCTTATTTAAGGAATTTTTAATCGTTTTTGCAAATTACATCGCAGAGCTGTGAAATCAATTACTTTGAGTAGAAATTGGTATCAAATAGATGTACTAAATTTGAACAATAACCTAAACTTTATTCATCAGTGCTTATTTATATTTAATATGCATTATACTACTGATTTTCTGCATGCAGATATTTAGTTATACAATGCATATATTTTGCTCAGGGATTAATATCTGTTACAATCATCAAACATTGTAAATGTTGCCCAATATTGAATTACCCCTCACCTGTATAAATATTTATACGCTGTGCGCAAATACAATCCTAAGCCGGGCAGCAAAACTAATGTGAACAATGCAGATAAATGGCAACAAAATACAATTTCACAATCGCTACATAAATGGCGGCAAACAAAGGCAAAATGCTAAATAAATATTTCGTATAAATTAAAACAAAACAAAAACCAAATTGGCTCTGTGTGTCACCTTTTGTAGGTGTGCGCGAGTGAGGCAATAGAACTACAACTCAAAACTATTTTACAGATCGTACTGAGTTAAAAAAACAAATGTAAAATCAACCTTTATTAAAATACCTTTATAGACAAGCTACTAAAAAATTGATTTTTACATTTTAGAATTATAATAATAGTTTTTCTTAAAATCTTCGATTTGAGATTTTATTCAATTGGTAGAGTGAATGGAGAAATATCTTATATATGTATATTTTATCAGCACTTTAAGTTTCCATGTCTACGGATATTGGTAGATATTTGATCTAAAATACACAAAATTAGAGTCGAGCTTTGCTGCTGCAGTCTAAAAACTACTTAAATATACTCATTTGGATGGGTACAGATGTATTATGGCACCAGGATTTTGGAAAATGAAGAGCAAAGTCCAGGGTAAACCACACCACTTAAATTTTCATGGATGTGAAACAACCAAATGTGCAATTTTCAGTGCATATTCAGTGCCAGAGATTGTCTGTCATTTGATTTTACAAAATATCTGTGGCAGTGATCAAAGTACAGATTGATATTTAATTACTCGGAACACATTTGCGGCTCGTGGACTCTATATATTTGAAATCCCAAAAAGCCAACTGTAACGATTAATGAATGTGTTGTGGTTATTGAATTTCGACTCGTGCCCAATTCAGCTAAAATGACTGTGCGAGTGTGTGTAATATGTTTTGGGAGGAGTATATTGTGGAGGAGTTGGGGTGGCTTTATTCCATTTGCATTATTGATGCTTTGATGAAGTGGTGGACAATATTTTTGTTGGATTTTTAAGCCGTTTACTCTTACTAATTGACGTGGAGCGGGTCGCGTACTTCCTATTGCACTGTTAATTTTTGAATTTGTTCGCAGGATTTTTGTTTAGGTTAAGTTTAAGCATATTTCTTTGGTTGGAGAGTTCCGATATGTCTACATTGAAGGGAGAACCTAGAAATTGAAGTCTTCTCTCAAGAGCTGGGCGGTAGCAGAAAATATGCTGAACAGATTTCTCATGTTCTTTGTACCATAGCCTGCAAGTAGTCATGGACACTTAACACCCTCCCTTTAATGTAGGTACTTTCGTGCCTAGTCACTTCATCGACAGCACAATTTCCCTATGAGGTCAATCTCTATTTTCACCATGAAATAACATCTGCAATAGTTGCTGACAGTTTTGGAGTTGAACGCTTCTTCGCACCTAAGTTAACGAACCCAAACCAAAATCGCCAACACTTCAAACAATTGCAGAACACTAAACTGCAATCGCTCTGCTGTATTTAAATGGTTTCATTCAAAACTGTTTGCCCACACACACACACACACAAACACAAACACACACACATGTATACATATATGTTATTTCTATGTCGGTTTTCGTAACTTCAGTTTCTGTACGACCACAACTATGAATTCAGGGTTTATGGCCATGTGAACCTCGTGAATTTCAGAGCGTATGCGCATGAAGGTCACTTCATTAGCGGGATCCAAATCTCTGACCACATTGCGTGCCATTGTGGCCAGTGGCTGCAGCAGTGACGCTAGCATTAAGGTGCGCCTCTGGCTAACAGTGGATCGCAATGGTTTACCAGTGGAATCCATAACAATTATTTCGCGAGCTCCGCGCTTTTTGAAGTGCTGCACAAATGAATCGTCATCATAGGGCACGCTATAAGGAATCAGACATGAGACACTAGCTACATAAAATGATATCTTCTACTTTACGCAATAACTTACGCTTGATTACTTGCCGCCTTTTTCCGAACTTCTGTCGACATTTCTTACTTGTTTTCTTTTTTGATTTTCAAACTAGTTAAATTGATTGAAGCGAACACTTTTGATTTTTGGTGTAAGTAGCTCAAGGCTTACTCAGAAATTGTGAATTCTAACAAAATTCACAAATCACAAACAAAAAAGGGGATTTTTTAAAAGATGCATTAGTCAAATGAGCTGCAGTACTCTATTTCAAAATAATTTTCCACTCCACTTTCCGTAGCTAGTTTTTAATATACACAGAATACAATTTTATTAAGACGACAGAAATAACGTCTAACTTGTTACATTGGAATACGGCCACGTAGATAATTGAGGATGGCCCCAGTGCCCGAAGCTAAAATTTGATGACGCGGTTGACGGAATGGATTTCCAGATAACTTTAGTTTTGTAATATTTGTGAGATTACCCAGCACGGGTGGCACCAGCTGGATATCATTGTTATTGAGATTCAGATAATTTAGTTGGCGCAGAGCACCCAGTCCACAATCTGACGCATCAATCTGCTTGATCTTATTGTCATTGGCGACGAGCTTTTCGAGTTTCTCCAGCTCGTAGATGCAGCTGGGCAAATGATCAAAGCGATTGTGGGAAATGTTCAATTCGCATAACGTTTGCAGACCAGCAAATTCCATGGGTAAAGCACGCAACAAATTGCACGATAAGTTTATGCGAGTAATTCTCGAGAACCGCGATACAAAAGAGTGAATGAAGGAGACTTTATTCTTGCTCAGATCTAGGTCAGTGAGCAGTTCGCTCATCCTGTGCAGTTCCCACGGCAACTCTGTCAACAGATTGTCCTCAAGGCTCACAGCGTTCACTAGCTCGGCACAAGCAGTCTCGATGATGTCCTCCGACAAGCCCTTGAGGCCGACCCTCTTAAGGTTTAAAATGCGAGTGTTACGCATCGAATACTTGTCCGGAAAAATATTCTGATTCTCCGACGTTACCGTTTTGCCGCCCTGATGGCGTGGACTGTTCAAACCATCACCGACCATTTTAAAAAATTAAGAAGCTTAGAAAACAATTTAAGTAATACGTATGGACGGAAAAATACAGCAGACAACAAATGGGTTGCCTGTTATAAAATGTGTGTTGTACAAGGGTTTTAAGGATTTGAGTATTAATGCCTGGCCAGTTTTTTGGGGAGAAAAGTTTGAAAATGTATACAGTAAAAATTGTTGAGTATTTTAAAGCTGTGTATAAACATGTTAGTAAGTCTGGCTGCCAACACAAGCTCTGCTGGCAGTAAAGGTATTGCAAAAGAGTATTTAAATTAAAGCCCCAACTAAGATGATGAAGAATCTGTAAGCACCAAATGCGTATATATCACTCTACGAACATTCTAGACACCACAAATAAATCAAATATCGATTATGCTTACATTACATTCAATTTTATATTTGAGCTAGTTGAAAATATGTACAAATTTCCCAACTACTTTGCAAAATGTCATTTCAATACGAGGGACTTCGAGGGTTATTTTTTTTATTAAAGAACACCACAGTCTCTTATGACAAGCAGGTTATGTCGCTTGGCCAAGTGCGCGGTAGCATCGTGAATCCTTTCCAGCAGCTGTAGTCCTTTGCGGACCTTGCCAAAGGCAATTCGCTTGCCATTCAAAATCGAAAGTGGCTTAAAACTGAGGGTAAAATTGAGATCGGTGCGAGAATTTCCACGTACATAGCGACTGGGAAAGGAGAGTATACCCGCATCGACGCCATGATTGAGCACCTCGAAGTCGTGCTCGATGTTGCTCATATCAAGCATGCGCTCGGTATCGAGTGCAATCTGTCCCTCCAGCCAAATCGGGGCAAAGGTGCGAGTGAAGCGAATGTTCTTTGAGTTTTGTCGGGTGCAGACGCGCATGAATTCCAATACCACCTTGGGACAGGCCTCCGTGAAGAGCTGTATGATTAGGCGACCCTCGATGCGAGTGCCGAGCACCTCCAGATCCAAATAGATCTGCGGACGCAGTAGCTTGCACAGCACACCCACATCACAGATGTCCATCAGATCCTCGTAACGATGGAGTACATGCAGCGGCACCTCATAGCTAAATGTCTTGGCCACCGAGGGCTTACAGCGACGCTGTTTGCCCACATGCGGATCGAAGAGTTTGCCACCCGGATGAAACTTTTTATTCTTCTCCTGTTGCTTGCGCTCTTTATCCCGGGCCAAGCTAGTGTTCCTCCATCGACCGGCAGCCAGGCGATCTGGCGATTTGGTGAATGTTCTCAAGGTATTGTTGCTTTTGCGATAGAGTGCAGTTAGCATCTCCATGTAAGACAACTCCATGCAGTTGCCCTCCCTGATCTTCATCTTTGGCGGTGGCAGGCAAGTGTTCACCTTGCCTTTGATATTCGCCAGACGATCGCGATGCTGACGATACAGATCTCGCTGCTCATTCATACCCAGGTTGGAGCGAGATTTCGTCTTGGTTAACTGTGATCTGGAAATGGGCACCGCAATTGCCCGCTGATGATACTTGTGATTGGCATTTGATGACGTCATATTGATGTTGAACGTATGGCTGTGAACCTTGGAGTTGATGTCCTCCACCTCCTGGTTGCTGTATACGGGATTTGTTAGCGCATAGGATCCTCGCTTCACGGCTGCCACATATGGTGCTATCTTTATGCCAGGGGAAAGGGGTTGCTTATTGTTCCCCAATTGATTGGTGACATCTTTAATAAACATCTTTCGCACTTTGTATTTACTTATCTCCAACCAAAATAAATTTACACATTTACTGGAATTTTTCTCGGGATAACTCGTTATGAACCTCGAACTGACTATAACATGAAGGGATTATTGTCAATGTCAGATATAAATGTATTTGCTCAGGCTGCTCGGATGAAGTTAACTATTAATTGGATAAAACAAATGGGGATATTGTGTGTTATACTGAATGTTAAATGTCGAACAATATCAACTTATTTTAAACATGTGTACATTATTTATATTAATACATGTATAAAAAGTGACAAAGAGTTAGTTATTACTTCATAATTACTATTGATGGCAAAGTTAATTCACTTTTGTGGCGAATTCCTTTTGACTTATACAGCGCGTGAATCAAATGAAATGATACAAAAATGATTGGTGGCAAACTGTAAATTGGATGCAATCATGTGGCAAAAACTGGGTGACCAATAAAAGTGAGACAAAATGTTTTATTCTATAGTACAGGTATATATATACATAAATTGTATAAATTGTAAAATCGCCCAAGCGATGATGCGTGTCAGACAATCTGAGGATGAATGAATCCAATGCCACCGATAATAAAGCTAAGCACAGCAAATATAAAAAATGGGTAAAGTTGATCTACTGCTCGACTAGAAGACACTCTGTAATTATCTCAACCCTTATAACGGAATCGTATGATAAAATCCTATGATTTATATTGAATGGTTTATCAGCAGCCATAGAAATAGAAGAGATAATGCAAATATACCCAGTACCCAATGTATTTACTGCAGTTAATATACATTCTCTTGTACATCCCCAATTAATTCTGGTTACAGTGGCTTTGAAGGGGAATATTTAATCAAAGCCAGTACACCTAAGTTTGGCAACCACAACTGCATGCAACATGGATAGCTGGCAATCGAATCCACGAGTTCATAATGGCCAGTGTGGTTTTTCTCGTGGCAAACTTGATTGGGAAATGTACAATCAACTGATTGCAGTGCAATAAATTTATGAACTTTATACACGTTGACCACCAAGTACAATATTAACACTGTGCTCCATTCCTTTAGCTGCCGTGCAGTTGACTAGTTTTTAACACATGTTAACATGTAAACACAAATTTATCTATTCAAAAATAAATTGAAATTTTCACGCTTAGAAGCATTTAGTTTTTGGTGTTCATTGGTGCATTAAACAACATCTTCTCCATTTAATTTGCGAGTCACGAAATTATTAAAATATTTTAATTGGAAGGTTCACATTAGCTTTTGACCCATTATGCAATCAACTTAAATGTTATTAAGCCTGTTTAATTAGTAATGTATAGTTTTTTAGCGGGTAAATTAATTATTTCAAAAAGCTGCAAAATTAACATTTGCGGTTTGTGAAATATTGTTAGCGTGTTTGCGCATAATTACAGTTTTAATTAAAATTTGCATTTGATTAAACAAACCTTTTTTGCATTTCTAAAACTGTTTTCATGGAATGTTAATTTCAAATATCAGTCCGTTTTTTTACACCAAATTAAATGATTTAAAGTGGGTGTCAACATACATATTAGACAATCTAGTGAAAAGAAATTTACAAATAAATAATATTTCATGTGCACTTAATTTATGGTTTTTATATTTTATAGTTAAATGCGATGCGAAATATTTTATGTAAATGAAAAGAGCTAAGCTCACCATCGTTCATCATTAAAGCTGAATTAATTGCTCAAAAAATTGATTTAGTCAAGAAGAAATGGATAATGTTTTCTTGTATGATAGATAATTCTGCTTATTAAATGTATTTTCATTTTTATATTAATTATATTCTTTAAAAATCAGTAAATAAATTGGTTTATTATTTTTAAATCATAGATTTACAATTGTAAATGTTAACCAATTGGTTTCAGCAACTTTAGGCTTTTCCGTCTGATTTGTGGACTTTGTTGTCATAATTAATTGGCTAAAATAATAACAGAAGCATCTGATGTCCAATTCCGAACCATAAAAACTCATTCGATTTTCATTAATTGAATGTTAATACGGTTCCGATATTGCGGCCAACAATTAAATGATTAATGGCATTTTTTTTTGCTATTTATGAGCGTGTTTGTGGCAGGAACAGAATGATAATGAGCTGAAGGAAAAACATGAAGGCGAACAGAATACAAATGCTGCATTAGCGTATGAATAAGATCAAGGACAGGCAGCTTTGAGTGTGTGTGAGAAGTGTGGGACATTAGGGCACAGTAAGCAGACGCTATCACGGCTCTTATCACTCAACAATCAATGATGACACTGACAAGGACAATGAAGGTGTTGGGTGGCCTACGAGTTGTAGACGACGCACCACTTAAGCGCTTTTGTTCTCAAGTGTCACACACACACACACACACACAAACACACACATATTGATAGACACACACAGTCAAATATACATTGACACACACAGTCAAATATACATTGACACACACACACCAATAGTTGCACTATCCTACTGTCAAGGGTTTGTCATGACAAACTGAGCTTGTCATGAAGAACTCCTTAAGTTTTGTGTTTTTACTTATGCATGTGCAGCCCCGATGTTGTTGTTGTTTGTTTTGCTTTGTATATTTATTTGCACGCCACATGCTCATGTTGCAACAGCGTTCAGCTTTGCCAAATGTGTCAAGAATGAAGATGCAAACACACTTGTGTTGACTGAACGAACGCAATCAACTAGAATTCAGCAGTTGATTTTTAATCAAATTTATTCTTCTCGCAAAGACAATATTTTATTTATTTAACCCACAAATTCCAATTTGAAGCATTTGGCTTGCCTTGATTCCAAATTGAATCGATAGAAATTCTGAAAAAAAAACTTAAACAAAAATATATACGCTTCCTGTAGGCATTTTCTTAAAACAATATACAAATAAATGCAATTTATTAAGGATGATTTTTTGAATAAGGGTGATTTTTTTCCAGTCGCAATAACAAAAGTACACAGTATATCTTATATTTGGGATTCCATTTTAGAAGCTAATAACTTATTTTCATATTTTGCAGGTTTCAGACATTCAAATGTGGTCATGATTGCATTTGATATCACCTTTACAATTTTATTGCCAGCTCATAACAATATTTTATGGTTGATTATGAGACACAGTATTCCTTTTAAGCATCCCACAAAGTTATCTGTGAAACACTCACAAATATATCCAATATGCTAAACAGATTTCTGCCACTTTAAGCTTTCGCTGACTTCAATCTCTCTTTGCCTCGGCACATTTATTTTATTTGGCATGAGCGGTGTGGTATATGTATTTGTATGTGTATATAAAAGCATATGGTGATCCGGACAAATATGTGACTGACCTCGCTGTCTCGCACACACACACACACACACACCCACCCACACACACACACACACTCATCAACTTTTATGTTTTCATATTTTTGCAAATGTTTTTTATGGCAGCTACCGAAAATGGAAACAAAAGCCAACAGCCAAAAGTTAAGAGCATAATGGAGCATAAATGCTTTGACTGTATAAATCTGATTTTATGCTGTACGCTTTGACGCGCTTCTCCCTTGCCAATGCCTCGCACTCATGTCACCGTCAAGGAACATTACATAAAGCGCCTCCAAAATGTGTTTCTGCAGGCGGATGATGTTTTCAGTACTGGGAATTTAGGCGATTTTGAATTTTGGCAGCTCCAACAAAAATCATGCAAATAGCATACTTTATTAGCTCAGGTGGAGACATTGGCACGTTGTCTAGGTAATCTCTCAAAACTGTACAGTTTTCTCTACAACTCTTCTGAGTTTCATGCTTAATGCGCTAAGCTTCTTAGAAGTCATGCTAACTAATTATTTTGATGTACATATTTATAACTTATTACATGTTTACATTTGAAACCAAATTTACCTTTCGAAATATGACTTTAAGTCGACATTTAAACCAAAAATGTACCCTATAAAATCCACTATAAAATCAAACTTGTAAAAGCTTAATTTTTTAAACTTTGTACTACAGATAAATCTTTCTTGGATTTCAAACTACCAATTCAATCTTAATTAATTGTAACTACCAAGCCTGAACATATTTCTTAAGCTTTTGGCTACGCTTTAAGTTTAGTTTCTCGACACATTGATCCACAAATTGCTAGACCCATAAGAACATCAGTTAATTAATGCCATTAATGGTGCTGTCAGCAGCTCCTCTTGAAGCTGCTAATTAACTAAATTGACAAATCAAGCCCCAAAAGGACCAAAATGCCTTAACAGATTCTGAAGGGATAATATCAGTTAACGGGCAGCTTAATTAAGAGCAAGTCAAGGTGTTAACAGCACAGCGCTTTTAAGCCACCAAAAATATTTAATCTAATTTTATTTATATCAGGGCGATGTCAACGGCAGTCGGGTGAAACACATTAAACTCTAAGTCGGTAGGCCTAAATACAGGTTAGCTGCTTACCTTTTATGCTGAAGCACTGAAACGAGAGTAAAAAGAAAAGCAAAAGGTTAAATTATGGTCTTGTTAAAGACGAGAGATAAAATCTTAAGTATACGTGTAATCTTAAAACAATTTTATTAGCTAGGCCTAAAGAGGGCTTTAGACGGCACGGAAACCAATTAGGTTAATGCTCTTGGCAACAACCATCAAGTGTTTATATATCAACTTGGCAGTTAAAGCAGATTACATTTTAATAAAAGTACGTAGGGAAATTGTTTATGGTCTTCTTCACATGTTTAAAACTTTTCTGGAGACTGTTGAAGAAAAATACATCAACTGCCTTCGGGCATTTGCTTTGTTCTTGACAATTTTACAACTTTTTGCTATTTAAATTAATATCGGAGATTTTGTTTTTATCTAGTCGCTTTCTAATGGAAAATGATTTCTTATTATGCTCATGCACAAATATGAGGATAGGATTTTCCATTAATGTAGCTTCTAAGCTGAATGTAACCAACTTTAAACCATTTTATGCTACTTATACTTGATCGAAATTTCTCATTTGAATGCAGCCATTATTATTTGGTACTGAAATTTCGTTAAGCAAAACGCCTTTATACCCCCATTTTCAAACTAATTGAACGAGAAAAGAACGTTTCACAAAACCCACACTGCGAGGTTCCCTGCGAGACTGTTGAAATCTCAGAATGTAAGCATAAATGTGCCCAGGCGTGCAGTTAAAATGAAGCACAGATTTTCTGCACATGCAAGTTGCTCTAAGAACACAAACTTCCACAGACACAAACACACACACACACACGCACAAACACACACACACACACACACATACACACACACACACACACATACACACACACACACACGTATACACACCCACTGAGTTGAACGTAATTTATCAAAACATTGCATAACAATGAAGCTGGTGCTTTGGAAGTCATAAAGGATATTCAAAACTCTTTAACTCTATGCTCCTACGGTTTTAACACGTGCTAACAACATAAATGCATAACAGTTACCTCATTCAGACAGTTTAAAATATTTGCAGCTGCAGCAGCTTGTTTACTGCATATACATTCATGGTAACGAAAATAGTACCATATTCAGAAAGGGGTTTTCGCTGCGTTGGCATTTGTGCTCACAAAGTAGCAGAGAGAACTCTGAGTAACTACTTTAATGGATGTTGAATTTTGCATTTGTATAGTTATTTTGTTATTTTGTTTGCCCACATAATGCAATTACACTTTCATTAAAAGTTATTTCTTATTATTAAATCTTACAAGTTACAAGTTCCACTCGTAACAAAAATATACGCAATGCTTCACAAATGTTACTTTGATGATTCTTAAAAATGGAAAAAGCAGCGTAATTAAAAACAAAAAAACTTTTTTGTTGATACAACAACTTTATTTAAAGCCCAAGTTCAGGCTTTAATTGGCCTTTGGCAAGAAGAGAAATAAATTTCCGTATAGCTATGGTGGAAAAGACTTTAAATAGTAGTGGTAGTCAAAAGACAGGAATCGTAAATGAAAATCAAAAGGCAGAAACACTGAAATAAAACCGAGAAAAGTTTACTGAATGACTTAAAAGGAAAGGTATGGAGCAAAAAAATGCTGCATAGACATGGATGTATCTACATATAGCAGGCAGATGGAGACAAAAGCAGCTGTAAAATAGTTTTTCATATCCGCTGGCAACTGGCATTGTGCATCAGTCTGCTCTCTAGTTCACTGCATGTGTGTGATTGTCACCTGATCTGTTGATGTTATTTTATTTTTGTTGTTGTTGTTGTTGTTGTTCTTGTTGCTGTTATCCTGTGCCTCTGTCAGCTGTATGATTGCACATTCATAATACTTCCTGCATGCCACACCTCTCTGCGGCTTTTCTTGCCCTGCTGCTTCAATGCAAAGCTCATTTTTTCTCATTTGGCTTGCGGAAATTTGCACTACAGTGCAAGTCAAAGTCAGTCGAGCTGTGCCATTGACAACACACAAGAGCACATACACTTGCAGAGTATCTGTCACAAAATAAACTTTGATTTATTTATACACACTTTGCACTCTGCATTTTGCTCCTGGGGCCAAGTCTTTCAAGTCATGGTAAACATTTGGTTGGAAAGCAGCTGCTGCTTGGCTCTTATGTTCATATATTTATGTATACATATATGTCTATAAATGAAGTACTTCCTGTTGCCTTCGTTCAACTTTGCACTTTCAAGTTCATTTCACAGTAAACTGTGTGTGTTTTCGGTTTCCCGGTGGGAATTGCACAATTCCATTCACACACACACCTCGGAGAACAAGGCAAAACAATTTGCGCACTGATTTGCTTTCCACACAATTAGCAAGCAGATTTCCTACGTGCCACACTTATCATAAGTTAATCGAAATGTCATTACACACAAAGCATACTGTTAATAGTATTTATTATTTTTTTTGGTATTTAACACATTAAATGTAATTTTGACATTTATTCAGCCGTTAAATTAAAATGAATTAATGAAATGTTTTAGTATTTCAGAAATCATTTTCTACCGTGAGTAGATATTTGCATATTTGTCACTCTATTTGTGTTGAAACTTAACTTAATGTGATTTGTATAAAATGTATGTGAAATGAAGAATCCATTTGAAATGTGTTTTCTTACTTCTTTACATATTTTGCACATGATAAATATTTATTATCGATTTGCTGAACTCTATGCACTCTGAAGATCAAATATTCTTGACAAAAAATACGCAATCATTGTGAATCCGGGAACTTGCTTGAGTACGAGTATGAGTACGGGTACGAGTACTCATATTACAGCTGACAGTTCGCATGCAGTCAGTCACAGTCAAGAGGACGCACAGGACTTATGTTGCGGCTCAGGTAAGCTAGTAGTAACGAGGAGCAGTTCAAGCAAAATTTCCCACAAAGCAACAATTTTCTTTTTTCTCCTTATTTTTATTTTTTTTTTTTTCATGCGTTTGTTAGTTCCGTACTATACATTTGCTGGGACGGCTTGGAGATGGAAACATTTTCACCTGGCCGTGACGAGTTGACGACATGCAGGGATATTGTTTGCTGCCACATAGTTCGTCCTGCATGTCCGCATATTGTCGGGAGTTGCAACAGCTTTACCGGGGATTAATGCGGATTACAATGGACAAGTTTGGAGCATACTGCAACGTTCTAATGGTTGTGACACATCCCCAAAAGCTTGACCATTTGTACGAAAACAAATTGGCTAAGGATTGAATGTGAAAGGGAAGCTGTGTGCAAATTTTTAAAATAAAATTATTATATAACATCCAGCAAAATGCAATAAATCTTGTCTTCAGTGCTAAGCTGTAAGCTATACACACTCTACTATCCTTCTTCAATGTCTGACTACCTGTTTTGGGTTTTATTTGTGCATGAATTGAACTAAATTGCTATTTCTAAAGCTGCTTGCATCTCAACACGGCTCATCTTCGACCTCTGACACACAACTTAAGAGCAACAATTTGTACTTGAATCCCATGAACTACTGTTGCTCCATTCTTTGCTGTTGCATGCTTGATGGCGTAACAAACATACTTGTGTGGCTTCGTGCAACGTTTTACTGAAATGTGCAACCATTTCGCATAATCTTACATAGTAGTAGGTGCCATGGAAAATGTAAAGTGATGTCAAATGTGTAGCATAACGTTGAAGTTGCCGCTGAGTACAAGGCAACATGTGGCGAAGTAGTGGAATTTATTTGCTCAATATGCTTATTATTATAATTCGTACAACCATTTTATATATATGCACGTCTAACATGAATACGCTTCAGAGTACTCAAAAACACTCGCATTAATTCTCTCTACATTCTCGAGGACCTTTCATGCTTCGTGGCTTGTTGGCATGCTGCAATCGAATGGTGGTACGTGAACATAATTTCGTACTTAGAATAGAGAATCGTTGCAGTTGAACTTTGAACAACAGATTATAGCACAATCGATGCGCACTCAGCTGCCTTGACCTTGTTTACTGAAAGTCACAAGAACGAAGAAGTCTTTAATAAAGCATCTTCAAGGCAAAACTCAATATCCTTATGAAGTCTGGGTATTCGTGCTGTTAGTATGCTTAAATTGCTTAGATTGACGATGCCAATTAGTAAATATTTAGTGCATATCAATAAATATTGATTCAATGTATACAAACTGATGATTATCAATATTTGGTATTTAATTCTCATTAACAATAGTTATTTTATTTAAAATTTGATTCGAATAAAATATTACGTATACGTCAATGTTTTCTCCTGTTGTTTATTTCTGAGTAAAAATAGTTGAATAATAGCCATAAGAATTACACTGCGATACTAGTTAAAGTACAATTTATTTAACCAGCAGGTATACAAATTTTAAATAAGATTTTCATCACCATTGTTGTTGTCTGCTGCTATATCTTAGGCAAGCACAAATATTGGTTTGGGTTTCAGGCTCATCAAATTACATTAAATTACTCATATAAATTGCCAATGGTGCTCTTTTTGTTGTTGTTGTTGTAGTGATTGCAAATTGCTTGCATATGCAAATTTGCACAGTTGTTTACCTTTTATCAGCCACCAGCTCTATAAATGACAGTTGCCAATGTTTCTGGATCAGTTGCCTGGAAATTGGTCTATAAATGCCGCACAATCTGTACGACGATTAAATGAAATTGTCTGTCGTGCCGTGTGACAGCACAACGTAATTTTGATGCAAGCTACGTGGCTGCAGCAAGTAGCAAGTCGCAAGCAGCAAGGCGCCGACAAAGTTTCCATGAAGTCAAAGAAGGCCCCACAATTCAATTGAATGCCAGCTCAGTTTTCAGCTTTGATTGACTCCCAGTTGAAGTAAAATGCAATAAAATGAACAATGAAAATAAGTATTCCACAAAAAGCCTGCTTAGTACCTTTATCATGAAGATAATGAATGAAAGTAAAGACCGCCGCACTCACTCAAGGATATCAAGTGAGATATTTAATTATTGCAGACAAGTGCAGCTTAATATGACATGAACATTTATTTGCCAGAGTCGAGATAATTGGTTGGCTATTTTTTCCTTAGTGGAGGGTGCTAATTTTAAAATTGTTGTATGAAATTTAAAGACAGTTAATTAGCTATTTAAATTAGATCTATTGTGGCCTTTCTACATCTTCCATCAATGCTGATTTTTGTACAAATATCTCAATGTATGTCGGGTTGAGCGCTTCTAACTTGCACATTCTTCTGGCTAAATTGACACAATCCACTATAATGCGCTTTGAGGACTTCTCCTCAATTGCACATAATCGGCAAGTCGAACAAAATTGTACACATTTACATTTCAATCGATATCATTGAGACTATTTCTTGATGACCATTCATCCTTTCAATGTATTCAACTTTTATCGGGCTTATTGTATGTATCACAATATGTTTACATTTTTCCCCACTACACAATTTGAGTTTATAACCAAGCTATCAAGCTGTGCGTAATCTGATAATTTTATTAGCAGCTTATTTCTTCAAAGGTGCTTATTTCTCAAATATATTTATTTACATTGGTGCGATTGCTTTCCGCGCTGTTTCACTGTTGGGTTCTTTCAGATGTGTTTGAATGTGTTTTGCGTGTTGCAGATAAATACATTTTTTACAAGAACAGCGCGTAGAGACAGTTATGGAAACCAGTCCAGTATATATATATATATATATATATATATATATATATATATATATATATATATTTTCTCTCTTCAACAGTATTTATACTTTTGTGAGGCATTTAAATGTATGCAATTTTACGGCACATGCAAAACGGAAGCTGGCAAACCGGGTACCTTGTAATTGTTGCTGTTTTTGTCACTGCCACCTGTCGCCGTGGGTGTGGCAGCTGGTATGTCATGCCAACCTCACGTCCATGGCGTCGCAGCGTCTGGTCGCCCAGACACACACGCACACACACGCACACACATAATTTTGTTTTTGTACGCGCAGCTGTTGCTGCAAGTTTCTGGCAAAGCAAATTAAATTTCAGCCGCGAGTTTAGCTCAAATGGAAACTTTCCATTTTTGCCGGCTCATCTCAAGTTTTTTTTTTGCTTTTCCCCCTCTTGGCTCGTTGGTTGGCTTATGTTAGTGGGTCTTAATTAAAACGCGACTCACAACTCACGACGCGAGCAACTTGAGGCAGCGTGTTTTTTTGAGCGTCCTCTTGATGCTTAATTAAAATACTTGTACGACATGTTGTACGACGCCAGGAGATGTGTGTCAACAGCTGCTAATGCCACACCTGGCGCATCAGCTGAATCAAGTGTTTTTCTTCTTTTCTCATGTGTGTGTGTGTGTGTTTTTTGCTTTGCTCAAATGTGTCTGTTTGTTTTTGTGTTTGTCTGGTCGATTTCTTTTCACTTCTTGCCCCCAGATGAGGGTGCCATCTTTTATGTTTGCGACGAAAACGAGTCTCGTTCCTGTTCCCATCGCCGTTGTTGTTGTCGTTGTCGTTGTTGCTACGGAAAGTGCGCAATTCACGCTAATTTGCTATCCCCACAAAATGACACAGCAATCTATCCAAGCAAAATGTCACAAAGCACAGAGCACTTGAATATTTGCTGCTTTATTTCACTTTTGGTTATTGTCACTGGGCAAAGATTGAAGGCAGCTTTGTTTACACATGTTCTGAGTTTATGTAACCATTAAAGCTGAGCTGAAAGACTAAAATGCCAAAATCCTTAAATCAAATCTTATTCCAGTGTACAGGGAATTAAATGCTTTATGCAAATCGCTGCAAATGAATTTCATTAAAGTCTACAGTTTTGCGCCTCACAAATCAGAAATTAAATAAAACATACACAATTTTACAGGCTGTCTCAATTCACTTTACTTAATAAAGTATAAATATTACTTAAACTGCTAAAAATGTCAATTATGGCATATCTCTCAAACTATTCAATCAAATTTAAAATACTATTCATAGGGTTCTTCCTCAGCTTAGATTTCCCATCTCGTCGTAGTTTCCTAACGTCGAATTTGACTTTGTTGAGATAGTTTGGAAGAACTTATTCTGCCTCCAACTCCAACTTCCGTTTTTAAAGAATCAGAATTCTGGTTTCGAATTTTGGAATTCGAAAGCACTTTAGAAGTTATTTGTCCAATTGCACCGGATATAGTTTTAGAAATCTTTGATTGAGTTCGTGATCCTAAGTCTCGAGAAGTATTATTAATTGTAGACGGTTTAACTGTTTCCTGACTGGTTCCATTTACTTTGAATTCAGGATTGCTGATTATATTCGCTTGAAGATTATTTTCGGAAATCTTCTTAACGTCCATCGCAATTGGACCCAGAAGAGGAGCATCCTCGAAGCATTTATTGCATCCACAATCGAAAGAATCGACACTCTCGATAGCAGGCAAGCCGCGATGCTGGAAACACTTCATGGGAATCTCCATGTCGCATTCTTTATAGGGTTGTTCCTCTGCAGCCATCTTGGTAATTTTGATACAGTTGGCAAAGATGGAATGGCGATCCTTCTCCTGCTCCTGTCGGCATTTCTCACGGTGTTCGTACTTCCTGTATGCCAAGTCTGCCTTGGAGAAGTAGCCGGGCCAGCAATAGTCACGCAGTCTGCTCCTTCCCACCGACCGACCCTCGGGAACCATGTCTATCTGGTTCTTGCGTCGATAAAACTCCACTGCAGTTGCCATCGGGAAAACAGGACGTCCCACCTTACGAGCTTCAGTCATCATCTTTACTGCGTCCTGGAAGAACATCACGTCTTCTTTAAGATTAGGATCCTCCTGGCAGGCTGTCATTCTCATGAGCTCGTCTTGACGCTGCTTCAGGAACTCTTCCCGCTGGCCATTTAATATATTACGCAAGTCAGCTGTTGCTTTATTGTGCTGTTGTCTCTGAGTGTTGTAGAATAGCTTATTGGTCTGCTGGTTCTTGAACCGTTCTGCAATATTATAGCGACGAATCTGTGCCATTCTCTGTTTGCTCTCTTCGTTCTGTTTGCGCTCCTCCAACTCGTAGGCACGACGCTGCTTGGACAGATCCTCTAGTTGACATTGGCGACGTCCCTCATCCATTTGCACTTCGGTTTCATAGCGTTCTTGGACATTGTCTTGCAATTCCTGGTCGTTTCGCTTATTCGCCTGCTGCATGCGGCAAAGCTGGATAGCGCGATCCTCCCGAGCTTTTATTTTGTTAGCTATCATTGCCTTGAGAGTCTTACTGTATCGAGCATCCAAATTGCGGCGTCTAGTCGTATCCACACAGATTACGCGATCATCGATCTGGTCACACATACTCTCATCTATGCGTTGGAATGGTGCGTATTAGTAGGAACTCAATTTATATTGGCAACTTACATTTTTTTATATCAGCCTTCTCCTTGAGCGCATCATGATAGGCACGACAGCAGAATTCGCGTTTCTTTTTGGCCAGCTCCTCAGCAGCCTTCTTTTCCACATCGTGCAGGCATTTATACTGTGCACGGTCAACTATGATATCGCATTCCTCCTGCTCCTTTTCGGCCAGCCTGCGCTTTCGTCTCTCCTCAATATCAGTTAATAGATAAGTGCGAAATGCCCGTGATTTTTCCTGTTCTTTGGCTTTTTCCTGCTCCTCGGTGACACTGCAGAATGGTATCAATGCCTCAGAACACTGCTTTTCATCCAGGCGCTGCTGACGTAGTGCATCCTCCAAAATTTCCCGATTGACAGCTTCGTTATACCTTCGCTGATGGATCACCTCGCTTTCGACTGCCGCATGATGTAGAGCTCTTTGACCCGCCTTCAAGTCTTCCAAAATTCGGTTAGCTCGAATGATTCGCTCTTTCCGGAGTTTAGCATCCTCAAGTCTGACTTGTTGTTCCAAGATTGCAGCCTCCTTCAGTTCCTGGTCAAGTTTTGCTTTCTTCGCCTCATCCATAGTTTGGGCGCCAACATTTGTGAAGTGGCTGCAGACCCAATCGCTTCCCTCCTTGAGATATTGCATATAACGACGCTCCTCCTCTGCTGCAGCGAGATCTGCATGCTTCTTGTCCATGCGGGATCTACCCATAATGGCATCAAAACGTTTTGCACTTACCACAACCGGAAAAACCGTGCGATTATCTATGAATTTTGTGTGGCCCGGCAGAGCAACACAAGTCTTATTTAACTCCATTATAAATTGTGTAAAAAATCATAAGAATTGTATTTCCGAATACCAGTCACATTTAAATATGGAGAATGTTATGTATTTTCTTTTAGTTCTAAATAAGATGTGTGAGTCTGTGTGTGTATTATTGTGTCTGCTTGTTTTATCGATAATATTGTTACAAAACAGCCAACTGGGTCGGTCATATATGACTTAACTGGTAACTGGTAAAATACTCTTTCCTCAACTTTAAAATAGTTGAGCTATTTAAATAACCAATATCAAAGGCGCATTATAAAGTTTTTAAGCTTGCGCTTATTTACAGTTTCTACTTATTCATAATAGATAGCAAGTACGAAAAGCAAACTGAACCCCAAAAACCAATTTAAGCTGTGACCGCTTTGTGGGGGTGGGGAGAGGATGTAAACCCTCCTCGGTTGCCAGAGTAGGCAACAATATTTCATAAAGGAGACCAAAACAACAGCTTACGCTCATTAGAGCAGCGCGGGATGAAGATTTTCACTTCCTGCCTGTCTGTCAGCTGTCAATTAATTGTAACGGCTCATAAATTTGATAAGAGAATGCCACAGAAATTCAGACACACTGTCAGTCTGAAATTTCAACAAGGAACCTAAACAGAGTATGACTGAGATATAAGTTAAGCAAGCATGGAATTAAATATGAAACATTAAATTAAATATTATGCTTTTTGAATATATATAATATTATGATAATAAATGTTCCTAAATAGTATTCTCTGGTTATACCTTCATTTTGATGATAAGCAACCAAACTTCAAACTGATCATATATAAATAATAAATAATAATAAAAGAAACTTTGTTATCTGCAAATATTTGCATTTATCATTGATATTTACATACTCATTTATCCGTCTGAAAGAGATTCATAATAATGAAGAAAAAGGATTGTTTGAACCGCTTGGGCAAAGGCACCACTCAGACCATATTGGCCAGAGCTCGTCTGTACCCAAGCCAGGAAGAGCTGGCTAATGAAGAGGAACATCGACATAGGCAATATCTCAAGGATGGTGGCGATGCGCTCTGTCGGCTCTTCCCAGTCGTTGGCACTCAGTCACCGGATGAGGAGGAGCAAAAGATAATTGATCCGCTAAAAGCAAAACAGACACCGAGTGACAGATATGCTAAATATCGAGCAGATATGCAACGAAGCCAGGTCAAATATCTTTCCAGAAGCCACTGCTCCAAAGCGAAATGATTCATCAGCGAGAGTTTAATAAAAATCTCAACTTGAAGCTGGCTGAAAATGCTGGCCACTGGCACCGCTTAACTGAGCAGCAATGTCCTGAGACGTTAATTCCTTTTTGCAATTATACAGAGGAGCAATTGAAAGCTCAAAAGAAGGAGACAGCACTCAGTATGCGCGAGCAACGCTCTAAGGATCTTAAAGAGTGGCGGCAGCGCCGACTGACTGAGAAGGAGCAACAAAAGTACCAATGCATTATTGAGCGCGAGAAGTACAAGAGCCTAAGGAGAAAGAAGAGAAAGAAGCAAAGGAGCTTATGGAAAGAACACGTGCATTTTGTCGCAGTGCATATCAAGAAGCGCTCAATGAAAAAGCAGTTATAAAAAAGTGAAAGTTAAACGATAGAAGCAGAAGAGTTTGGTTTTGCTCCAGCAGATTGCTGGAGTTTGGTTTTGCTATTCCCCAGATACATAATTGTTTTCCTGACAAATTTAAGATACAATTGTGTGGAGTTAAGCTTAACATTTCAGATATTAAAAATGGACTAAGATTTAATCTCGTATTTAAATTTATAAACCTTAAAAAATGTCAATAATTTAGTTTCAGCATCAATTCTGCATTTAAATTTGGAATAGTTATAAATCCAAAGTTTTTATTTTCCAAATTTGATCTGCTTCTATACTTTATTATTTATTTATTATGTAGTATCAAATCGAATTTTTAAAGGTGTTAATTTCTTTCTATTTTTATTTACGGGCTTGCATTGAAAGCTTTTATCGATGATGACGGCTCAACTTTTGAGAATTTGATTAGCCCCTAAGAGTATGCGACACTTAAAGATTTTCGATACAAAGAGCTTTAATTGTGTAAAATAACAATAAATCTTAAATATCTCAATAAAACATTTATTGAATAACAACCGAGCTGTGCATATCAAGATTCTGAAGCTTGGTTGTTGGACATTGGATATGCCATAATCCACATTGCTTTTTGTTCACAACTGACTGCTAATGCAATTTAGCATAATCCGCATTGAACATTACTTTGACTTGATTTTCTGTTTACAGTGGCTTCGATACAAATTTCCAAGAAAAAAATCAATCTGTTACATCATCTATACCAATCTAATATATCAACTGGTGAACATTATAGGCCCCTCTTCCCATTTGTGTAGTCGCCATTAGCGAAGCAAATGGTATTATTTTGGTAAGATTATCTTAACTTGTGACGCGATTAGAAGCAAGTTTTTTACGTTTATTAGCAATTGTTATGAGGCTAATAGATGATATTCTGCGTTGCGATTTTTGGTCATTTTTATAGCCGACCAGCCCGACCAGTTATTGATGCAATGTGCCTTTCAAATGGCAAAAGTCATTATAACAGTATTTTGTTTAATTGTTAGCAACATTTGCATATGTGATGCTCTCGAAAAGCTATCAAGCAGTCCGCCTAACAAAATTTGTATAAAAGGCACTGCCTTTCTAGAGTGGAGCATCAGTAAACGTTCTTTCTACGTTCCCAAACTGCACACTAATTAAAATGTTCAAAGCCGTAAGTATTTGGATACAAATACGTGAATAATCAAGGACGATGGCTACTAATAAATTATTTACAGTTGATGATCTGCGCGCTTATCGGCCTGGCCGTCGCCATGCCAGCTGGATCTCCAGGTGATGATGCCCACGCTGAAGTCCTTACCCGCACGGATGATGTCCGCGCCGATGGTTTTAGTTCAGAATTAAAGACCAGCAATGGCATTGAACAAACTGCTAGTGGTGATGAGCACGGCAGCATCCACGGCAGCTTCAGCTGGACCTCGCCCGAGGGCGAGCATGTCCTAGTTAATTATGTGGCTGATGAGAACGGCTACCATCCAGAGGGTGCCGTTCTGCCCACATCTCCCCCAATCCCAGATGCAATTGTACGCGCTCTTGATTGGCTGTCTTCCCATCCTTCAGCAGAGGAGAAACATCACTAAATGACTTTTGATTGTACCTGGACTCGACTCTTGAATTCACCCCGACAACATTAGTTTTTAAGTTTCTCGCGCAATGCTTCTGGCAAATAAAAGAATACTTTTTGTCATAGCAATCATTATGTTTATTAATTGGGCTATAGACTAGCTGAGTAGACTCTGCTTGCTTTTGATGGTATTTAAAATCAAGGCCTCAATTATGGGTCAATGAAAAGTTAATATTTCACCACTTCGGCAAAAGCTACCTGAACTAAATCATTTGGATAACTTAAATGGAACCGACATCCTAACTCACATGTCAGCAAGGCCGACAAAATCGAAGAATGAGCTGAAACGCTGGTCGAAATTGATTTCATGATGTAAATTCTTATCATACAGGATAGTATGGTATTTAAATTATGTGGTATTCATATCTTCGATTCACTAATTAAACAGTTTGCATATGATTGTTTATTTCACTGAATCATGCACTATTCATTATCAAACTCTTACACACAGACCAATTCAATTTGAATCTAAAAAGAGATACCAAAAGTGCGTCGAAGATTGAATACCATAACAGCATAATAAGATCCATATCTCAGGATATCTTGGTTAACAAAAAATTTTGCTGATGCAAGAACACATCTTTCCATTCATCTTTCTTTTGGCAGTCTGCAGAAGAAGGACAAATATATTTAAAGTTCCCTCAAAATAGCTTTGAAACTGAAAATAAATGAATGCACTGACAGACGGACATGGCCATATCGTCTCGTCCAGTTGTGCTCATCAAATATATAACGCGATTGCGTTAATTTGTATGTACTATTAATGTATGTGGTGTGACTTGTATTTTTATATCATGACATGATTTATGGCATTCGAAAATAACCTGTTTCGTTAGCAGTCGTCGCTGCACTTTAGCATTCAAAATGCGAAAAAGTACGACATAGAAATCAAATAATTGAATCGATTTACTAAACTAATTTTGATGAAAATATTACTGCTTGACAACCAAACTTCAAAATTGTCATCTTCAATTGTGGTCCAAATGAACTTTAATATAAAAAGCGTGATTTGGGACCAGAACAAGCCAAAACCACTATTTAATCTAGAACGAGTTTTGCTGCGAGTGAGTTGTTTCGTTAAAGCATTAAAAAATTCGATAATTAATTTGAATCCTAATAGAATAATAATCAAATTAAGAAAGCTTAACAATTTAATTATAACATATAATACTGCGAAAAAAGAATCATCGACAAGGTATTTTGTGTTTAGGCTGTCTACCAGCTTAGTAAAAGACCTTAGCATCGTAATCATTTCTCCATTGCCCACTCATTGGGAATTATGCTAATGCTATATTTGTTTGTTGTTGTCTTCAACGGTTTGTCTCTTCGAGTGACAGCCAATTTGGATTTAAGTTGGTTAACTCCAAACACTGGCACAAAATACCCAATATGCTCATCATATATATATATATATATATATATATATATATATATATATATACGTACGCATATTTTTATTTACATGCCTGTATATATGTAAATATATACACTTCAGCTTTTGGCATCGCTCGCCACAAAGTGTAAGCCAAAAAGTTTAAAAGGGTTATCACTACGATATCACCCTTCCAACAGTTGTGCATGCGTGTGTGTGTGTGTGTCTTTGTGTGGGTTGCGGGTTGTGGGCCGGGCTGGTTAAGATTTTGCCCTTCAACATACAGTTGGCGGGATATATTTTTTTTATATATGTATTTTTATTTTTTTCGTGCTGCTTTTGACGTTTATTATATTGCATTATACATATTTGTATTTATGTGCCAGCATTTTTTTGACTTTGCCAGAGGGCTTTAAATACATAATACATATACATTCTGTGCGTGTGTGTGTGTTTGTGTGTGTGCGTGTTTGCGAAAATTCTTTTGGTGTGTGCTAATTTGAAATGCGGTCGCTTGTCGCTGGCTTTCTTGCTGTATCAGTTTGTGTGGCTGTGTATGCCGTTAACAGAAGCTCTATTTGTGTGTGTGTGTGTGTGTGTGTGTGCGTTGCTGGATTTTTTTGAATTTATTTTAATACGTTTGTATTTGGTTCAATATGGCATGGTATTGACGACATGTACACAGTTATCGCTGCTGTGTGGCACGTATGTGTGTTAATTCTAAATTTACCAGTTTAGTAGCACTCGTCTTTTAGGCTAACACGCCCAATTTATGAATTATTTATCGAAATGAAAAAATCAACAATAACAACAACAAAAAACAGCAACCGCAGACAGAAAAGTTTTGCCATTGACTTTGACAGCTGTTTAAACTTCTTTTCGTTCCTTTCACACACACACACACACACACACACACAGACACACATGCATAATATATACAATGAACTTTTAACCCGCTAAGCAGCACAATTTTTACAGTAGCAAATGCAGCTCATATCCAACATTAATCAGCATAAATAGTAAATTATATTTTAGTGGTTAAATTTATGAATGCAAATTAAAGAGATATTTTTTAATATCAAATCGAATATTTTACAAATGCCATAAAACACAGAAATTCCAGAGGAGATCGACAAATTAAACACAGTCTCACACACTTGTATTTGGAGTTAGTAAGCCGCTGTTCATTCGCATAATCTGCTTAAACATATATGTTTTTTGCATTTCTTTAATTCAAAATAAGCGCCTGGAACTTCTGCCTTTTTGCTTTATAGCCACAATTTAAGCGGCGTCTCACGTATACCATAAATATAAATAAAACAAAATAAAATAAAATGTATGCAATTCTTGGTACTACAAACTAAATGAAACCAATTTAGAAATAAATAAAATTAAATGCATACAATATTAAGCAAAAGTTATTTGAATTTATTTGAATATTTCAAGCAATTTACTTGCATATCCGACTGCTGGGTATAACTTAGTCCATCACCACTCATATTGTGCTTCAGAATATAAACTACAATATGCTGCGCTGAGCAGGCGACACTCACAAAAGTCAGCGGGAAACATTAAGCACTGCGGGCGGCTTTAACTGTTTATATGTGTGTGTATGTGCGTGTGTGTGTGTGAAGGGAAACGGAAATCAGATCAGAGGATTGAGGATGACGAGGGGAAGGTGGCTGCAAAAGGTGGCGTAGAATCGTAAACAACCGCAGCGAGCATTAACGGAAAACGCGTAAAAAATGGCAGCATAAAAGCTCGGCGAACAAATAAGAAAACAATGCGAAAAATGAAGATAAATGCGCAAATATTGCGTAACCGTTCCGTTACCCAAAAATATACTACTTCTCTGATACTTCTGGTGTGTTCCGTGTCTCCGAGACAGTAGTTAAAAGCCGATACGCGTTTTGTGCCGAAAAATACCTTTAAATACATTTTCATAAGCCGCTTGCAATGCAAATTTGTGGTTCAGTAAAGTCCGCTTGTCCTTGTGCCAAACTTACAGGCACAAAACAAAAAAAAAAAAAAAAAAATCGCGAGCAAATGGAAAAATAAATAAGTGAAAAGCCCTAAGGCGTCGCAGGAGTGTAGAAAAAAATTGAAAATAAATCAAATTTTCGACAGCCTCGTGCTATGTTGAAAAGCGATTAAAAAAAAACAAACAAAACGAAAACTTTTAACACTCTTTTTCAGTCTTTTTCGGTTCATGCGATAAGCGCAACATCATAAAAAATGGATACTAAGTTGCATCAAGCAGTTAGCTGACAAAAAAATCTGCAAATAAAACCGACAAATCCGACACAAACTTTATCAAGAATTTACAGACTAATGGAATTTGTAGATAGTCTAGGTAAGAAAAACAAAATGAAAAACAAATACAACGTTTTTTCGCAAATTTGAAGAAAAAATTCACTTTAAATGTAAAAACAATTACTGCAGAAGAATTAAGCAACACATTTTCTGGAATATTTTATTACACATTAATTTTTAAGGTATGATACAAATTGGTGCCCATATTTTTAATATGTTTAATGGGCTTATGTGTTTTATAGCAATTTCATAAATTGATGTGGCCACAACCACAAAATGAAAAAAAATGAGAATAAAAAGCAAATCCTTTACGTATAATCCGCTTTACGTCTGTCCTGCTCCAATAAAAAGGTTACTGACTATAATATTCCAAAGTTAAACTAAAGCAGACAAAGCTTCAAAACAACATCAACATCAACAGCAACATCAACAACAACCACAAAAACACATCGTTCAACAAAGAACCGAATAAAAAAGGGGCCAATAAGTAAGATTGAAAACAAGAGCAAAATGAGGTAGTGGCCACAACGCGTGGTCTGCAAAATCTTGAGCAAATTTTATTTTTGTTTGTTTGTCTATGTGTTTTCTTACGTTCTCCCCTTTTGCTCTCAGTTGCTGCATCGACAAAAGTCCCAAAAGTGTTTTTTGGGTGGTGGCTTAAAGCATCTACAAAGAGAGAATCGATAAAAGTTGGCGAGAAGATGCGTTGCGTGCTTAAAAGGATTTCTTATTTGATTTTTATTTAATTTTATGCGCTTTATGTGCCCGAGCCGCTGGCCGGCCGAAGCGCAGCAGATTTTATTTTCGGGATAAGCCAAACAAGCACAACAACAACAACAACAACAAGAATAGTGGTACAAAGGCCAATGACTCTATGAGATGTAAAAGCGTCTGGGACTTATGGCAATTTAATAAACTTGGAGTAGCCGCTACCAGTAAAAGGGCACGATAACAAACAGCGAGCAAACCCGAGAGCGTTACTAAATCAGTTCAGGGATATGAAATCGCCTGGAAAAAGATCAACTCAGGAATATGTAAAATTCTTAACTAATATTTTCAATAACTAATATTGTAATACAATTTACAATGGTTAAGAGCTGATTATATAACTTGTAGCTCGTATAGTTGGTTAGCCATTTATATAAATTACTATCAATATTTTGTAAAATAAATACTAAATATTTTTATATGTAATTTATGATGAAAGTCCTTAACTTGAATGCATAAGTGTGCTTTAAGGCACTCAAAAACTAGTCTTTATTCAATCTTCATAAAATTCGCATTCGCATAAAGAGAAAAATAAGCAAAATACATTTCGTTTATCATGTCAATACAAACCCCTCGCCTCGCTCCCAGCCTTG